GGCAATGGTGTGTGGAATTAGAATATATTTTCTACTGGTTTGAGTTAGCTTGATGGCTTGATGATTGAAATCTGGGGTTTGTTCTATCTGGGAAAATGTGATGGAAGTTTGTATTATACTCCTCAAGCAATTCCAGCTACTATAAGTCAATTAATTTGACCTGCGAGTCCATTTGTGTCAATTTAATATTAATATTTCTATTTCCTATAAAAAGTTATTACATTTTTGTTAGCTTTATTAAAATAATTGATATACTGTATATAGTTACTAGTATTACAATGAGATCTGTGTTCTGATAATGAATACCATTTTCCAGGTTATTGGCAGCCAGAATACTGTATATAAAGGGAAATCTTTCTGTTATGAAACATTTGACTGTAGGGGTTCCAGGTGATAGAACCTGGAAATAGAATCTGGCCTTCCTCTCTACATCATCCTCTCTCTAACAGGGAAGCTCACATAATTAATTTAAGGATTATCCTGTTAACTCACTGTTAAGCATTTCTCTGATTTCCAGACATGGGTTGAAGTGAATGCTGCCAGACTCACATGAAAGTACTCACATGAACACCTAGAAAATATAAGCTCACATTCTAGATTTAATGGATGCAGTCTAACTTATCGGGTAATAAAGCTTTTAGTGTAACTAACTTCACAACAGTGTTTAAACTGGTGTATAAAGAAACAAAAATAATGATTTGCCAATATTGCTGAATATACTATAAAAGACAGAATGAACTACACCCAGGTAGAACAATGGAGACCTGGAAAGACTAGGTCATAAAATAGATAAGAGTAAAAGAAATTTGCTGGATTTCTTCTGGTGCTTATATTTAAAAAAATATTTGAGATTACAATGAAATGTTGTTTGTATCGTAGTGCCATTTGTATTACCTTTGTATTGGCATTTATGATACACTGAGAAGATAACTTTGATCACCATCTCTCTTGTGCTATACCAAGCTGAGGAATTTTATATTTTAAATGATATGCCAGTGTTACTGAACACTCATGCATGCCTGTCATGTCTATTACTTGGATTCTTACATCCTGCTGTTTCCCAAGTAGCCACTGGATGGAGATACAACACAAGGTATTGAACCATCCAGTAAATCCTTGTGGTGAACAGATTACTATTATGCTTTCATTCCATATCACCCCATATTACATCACACTTTGCAGTACTTGAAACTCAGATGTTGTTATCCTCTGTCTGACACTAATTAAGAAACTGGCTGAGATGAGATAGTTCCTTCCAATTAAGAAGCGTTTGTGGTTCCTAGATGGGATCTGTTTTCATGAACTCTTGAAAGTGAACTCTTTTCTTCAACCATCTTCAGTTAAAGTTTAATATTTTGCAAGACTCTGCACAGCTTAATGGTAATAAGAAGATATACTGTATAGGTGTAAACACACACATTCACCTTGAATAAATGGAGAGTTTTCATCAGCAGCTGCCATCAGATTACCCAGATTCTGTGGTGTGAAGGCGTTTCATACATCTGCTATAGATTTAAAATATTGCATAGAGTACGTAGAATTCATTAGGGTGTAGAGAACACACTGGGATCTTCTCATTGACAAGCAGTTAAATGTCACAGTACTGATAGGGAAAAGCCAAACAAGCTGCAAAATGTATTTGATTTCTACTCAAATAACTGTGTGTACTGTGACTGAAGTGATAAACTGCTAAAGACAAGTTATGCAATTTTTAATAATTGTATGTTCTTGTGTGTTTGAAAAGCAATTCATTTTTTCTGACTCTTGCAAAGGCTTGAAGAAATGTTCTACGAACACTTAATTTAAAGATGGCTACTGAAAAAGGGAGTGGTATTATCATATTTTATTTCTGGCCACTTCCTGGAAGTTAAACTACAAAACATTTTACACATTAAGAAAGAAAATAGTAGATTTTTGAAGTCAGAATAATGTGTTTAGGTGAATCCAAGGCCAAGAATATATAGTAGGTCATTTTTAATTTTTCTACTGAGCAAGAACAATCCTGATTATCTGTATTTCTGTGGGAATTTTTGTGAGGTGAGAATCCTGGAGTTGTGAGCAGTGAGATCATCCAATTGTTCCTATTTTTATGTATTTGTTTAAGTATTATGCATAAAAGTTCCATAATTTGATGCTTTCAAAATCTGCTCCACAGTGTTTGAGTATTTCCAATGCACATATTGACTTTTGTTGTGATTGCCTTTGAAGCAGGTTTTGGTTCCCACAATGCTGAGGTTTGTGAAACCACTTTGGCTTCAAATAAATTATCTATTGAAAAAAAGGCTTTGACATTGTGTAAAGCCCAGATGTAAAGCAAATGCATAATAATGGCTCCAAACAGCCATAGACAACTCTCCTCTTGATATTGTGTCTTCAAGTTCTCAAGTAATTACCTAGAATAATTACAGTTGCTGTACAGTATTTTGGTGATTGGAACTGAAGTTAATTGCTGAATTGTTGAGCTGAAGAACTCCGGAGCAAAAGAGACAGAACAGCACAAAATGGACAGAGAAAAGACTTTATATTATTTCTTCAGGGAGATTTGGTTTAATAGCCCTACACAAAAATATTCAAATTAAGATGGGGATTCCACTTGTACATAAAATCCCTTGGAGCATAGGTTTAGCCCTGTAGTCCAGATATACTCATTTAATGTCTGCACTATGTCACTATCTAACTGGGATTCCCTGAACAGCAGTGCCCCAATTGATTATGAGTGTTGTTATATATTGATATACAGTAAGTAAGCCGGGTGTCCTTGTCTTACACTGATCCCTGAGGTCAGTAATTGCCTGGGAACTGCCAGAATCTTGTGAGATTGCAGTGTCATCCACGAGCAGTGCAGCACTCCTACAATTAGTCTGAGCTCTCCTGTAAAGAAAAGGAGAGCCACAAAAATGTGTGTTTCTTTGAGGACAGCTTTTATAATCCTCATATCTTCCATGCTGACACCTGCTGTAGCAGACTGAGCTCATCAACTATTGTACTTATGATTACAGCGTAAAAAGGAACAAAAGTTACAATATTAAGATAAAAGGTCAATAAACAATCATTTAATTGGATGCATCAACAATCCAATACCACATATTGGTGATAAGATGAGGCACCCAAATACAGTATGAGATTTTTAAAACATCTTTTGCTATAGAACTCCTTGGTCGAATATTGTCTGTAGCACCATGCTAACAGTTTAATCAGGTAATCCCATTAGGGTAAAGATGTGCAGACAGATTAAAAGTTATCTGTAAAACAGTCTTGCATTGTTGTGTTTTCTTGTATATAACCATCTGATCTCCTTTAGTTTTTCTTAGTCATTACACTAAATAACATTCCAGATAAAAAGAAAACACTAGAATTTATCTAGCCAGCAAGTTCAAAATTAACTAGTGGAAATTAAAGTAATAGATGTACAGTAAATAGAAGTCACATATCAAAAACATCACTGTCTCAAGGCTTAATCCAGAAGATCTGCACACCCTGAGTTCTTGGTTGGAGGGACTTTCTAAAAATAGTTTCCAAGACAAATGGGAAATGAGCAATATTTTAAGTCTGGCTTCACTGCAGCTGTTTCGTTGATATCACTCCAGAGTAACATAAGTTTGCACATATATATAACTTTGAATCGTGATCATGTTTCAAAGAACCAAAGCATAGACAGTGCTGCTCTTTACTGAAGTTTACTTTGGTAAATGTACCATGAGAATTTTCTTCATACCACAGTTCAACCATAGTTTTTGTTTTATCACATTCTGACTATATTCACATGGGTTAGTATAGGAAATGTACCTACCTGTGGAGAAAATTTCAATTTAAATACTTCCATTTAGACCTCGCCTGGTTGATACCTGAATAGAAGGTAATTTTACAAGATTGATCTTTAGAAAATAAAGTTACATTCTAAAGATTATTTAAAGATATTCTTTTGAGATCAGGCTGTTCTTTGGCATCATATTGTTAGTCTTACATAGTTGCTGGGCCTGCTGAGGTAATATTGTAAAATACTTTGCAGGACATACCTAATTTGTGTGCAATCTCTAAGATGCCTAATTTTATGTTACATGCGTTTTATATGCAGATGCAATAAGATGAAATATTTTACAGTGCAGTTATACAGAAGTATTTTTCGTTGTGCTATGAAGTAACCAAGTACTGGGCCAAGTTTGTAGTCTTATCCTGACAATTCCATAATCGTGTTGCTAATATTCTTATGCAACATACAATATCTGTTTCTTATGGATAGTGCATCTTCATTGTCTGCACTGTGCAGAGTTCCAAAAAAAATGTGAACTAGGAAACATCTACTGTACCATCAAATACAAAATTATTTATTGTGATGAACACCACAGGAGACAACACTGGTAGTCTAAGATAACTAATAACTGACTAGACATATTAACACCAGTCTTTCATTTCATACATTTAACACGTAATGATTTGCTTAAATGCTGGTGCAGTGCACTTTTTGCTGTTGGGCATAGTGTATACAGTATATGTCTCATTGGGATTCTTTACTTAATGTTAATGGGTATTAAAACAAACTAAAACTATCTGAAATACAAGGGGTAATGTGAATTCATGGTAAGACCCATACAACTCCAGATGCAGTTGCAGTTTCAATATATCTTCAGTTTACATGTTCTCTGGGTTTCCAAACAATGATGTAGGTGTAAAACATAAATTGTTCTGAGCATCAGATACAAACCTCCAACACAGAGAGTATATTTGCTGGCTCCATATTACTGTACAAGGATCAGAACCTCTTACAAGGCTGTTATTTGTGTCTTCTTGTGTGATATATGTGCAACTACTGACATCCTGCTGGGTTCACTTTAAGAAGATGTTCCTATTTAAGTTTAATATCATGATGTATCAAGTTTAATATCATGATGTATTTATCGCATATTAGGTCAACCAACATGACACAATTAAAACAGAAAAATGTTATCAGTAAGATTACCAAAACAAACTGAGTGTATTAATTAAAAACCAAGCATTTACAATATTTGTAACCAAATTTATTAATTATTTTGATATTACAACACACGCTGAAAATGTACATTAAAAGGAATACAGATCTGAATAAGAAATTCTGCATGGTCACAATTTAAAATTTGCCATCTTCATGGATTGTTAAATACAAGAGTTTCAGTTTTCACTTGTATAGCCTTGTGCAGTTATCTCTGAGCTTTTGAATTCTATACATGAGAAATTTATACTGTTTTGAAACTTTTAGAAAATACCGGTAAGGTAAAGCTGTTAATCTGAATTTGATGAACTTTCAGCGATGATGAAGATAAAGTAAATTTAGTCTGAAAGAAGTATAGTGTACAGTATGTCATTCCATGAAAGACAAACTATCCCAGTACTATGACCATGCCACAATAAGATATGGACCATGCAATTTGATTCTCTCAAATGTAAAAAAAGCAAAGAAAATGAAGCAAGAGAAAAGCTTGTTTTATTTGCAAGCAACGCGTTTCTAAATCCACAAAACCACCTATAATCTAAGTTACAGCATACTACCTACAGTATAACAACATACCAGAATTGTTCTTCTTTTTGCATGTTTGCTTAAAAAGTCAATAATAAAATGTTTTTTATGTACAAATCAAATGGCACAATGGCAATTTAAGAAAAAGCATTTTTTCACCACTGAGAGCAAATGTAGCTAAGACGTGCACATACAGTATACAATCAAATGAGAGATGAGCGATCCGAAACTGCCATATTATGAATTTGATAATGAAGTAGAATTTTGGCACTAACTTGCTTTTCATGTGTGTATAAAAGTAGTGGCTTTAAAATGTTTAAAGGGAACGCCTCTCTAATACTTCAGGAACCATTTTAAACTAGTATTCCAATTGCTGGACATGGTTACCTAAAGAAAAAAAAACAGTATAAAAAAAGAGACTGGACCTTGACATGCAGACACTCATACAGTACGTACACACACTCTTTCAAACTCTGTTCACAATAAACCATTACTTAAGAAATCCAATACAGGTGGATTTTTGGACACCCTTGTGTGAGAAAATATGGAGGCACACACAATACTCTGAAGAGGAAAACTAAATCCCAAACTGTAAGTTCTTTGCAAGGGTTGAAATGTTACTTTAACAATTGCTTAGATTAAGGAACTCAATACTGCTTTGGTATGAATTTCTAGTTCTACAGAAACAAACAGGGAACTTCTTTGCCTCAAACACAGTATCAGGTAAATAGTATGCACAGAAACCAGAGGGCGTTTATGAGTATTCTTTTCTGTGTAGGAATTTATTAAATAATTTACTGAATAAAGCTGTAGATCTTCCCAGATAATCTGACTTCCATTAACCTAAAATGATCAAGTTAATAGAGATTCCCATTTTACACATATGAAATAAGAAAATATGAAAACAAAATTATCCATTAATGTGGTGTGATGCAAATTATAGTAACCAGGCTAGGAATGTAGGTTGCTTACATATTTACAACCCTTTTTAACCTTTGCTGCATTGTTAAAAATCAAACAGTGCATGTATTTCTAGTGCACGGTACTGTATAATGCAGTGCTTTAATACAGACAGCAGTCTATCAAACCTTTGTTCATTATTGTAAAACAAGCAGAACTTGACAAAGTGTTGATCTTTTGATCAGTCCTGAATGGTGCGAAGCTCACTCAAGACCAAACACTGCATACTGTCAGATTCCTCTTAGGATGCAGTCTGTTTTTAAACGTACAGTATTTTACCTAATACAACCTCTGACGGACTGCATCTTGTATATTTTTATAATCTTTTTTTAAATTGATTGATTTTTCAGATATTTAAGACTATAATAATAACAACCTACCTCTTGTGCTTTAATCATGTAATATAATTTACTTCTAGGTCAGATTTTTCATTCATGTATTTAGCACCGTGTATATTCTGTATATCACAGAAATGTTTAAAGACCTTCAGGCAAACAACAAGCAAGTCACTGATTTTTTACTGAAAAAGTAAACTGGTCCTTTTTTCCTCCAACAATTTGCTCTTAGTACTGTAGTACAGTATGTAGTTATTATTTGTAAGTTCACTAAAGGATGTTGTTAACTGGCATTTTAACATTTCAAGTTCCTAATACAGTTGTTTAAAAAGAAACAACAGTACAGATCATCAGTACAAATGATGATCATTTAAAAATGAATGGTTGTATGATATATTGAAACATCCAGTCACTTGTTTTTAAATATTGTCACATTTTTGAAAAAGAAAAACTATAAACTTAAGCTAATATGAGGATATCCAGGAAAAGGAGAAAGGAGTGCATTAATAAGCATTGAGCATATGAGAAATAGTGAAGTACTGTAAATATGAACCTTTTATGCTGTTTTATGACTTGACATGATAAAAGAGAATGGTTGTGCTGAACTTTTAATTTACAGTATACAGAGTATGAATGGACCTCTTTTTATGCTTAAAATTTCAAGAGCCAGTGAAATACAGGCTGAGTATGAGGTCAAGGTAATTGGAATAATCAGAATAATCTGCTTTTGTGTTGTTCAGATTATTTTATTTTTGATAAATCCACTTTTACAGTTTAGCACTTGAGACTTTTTTTTTCATTTTTGATGCGAACCGGGAGTCATATCTGAGCTGTTTGTACAAGGTATAACAGTGCAATTTGGAAAATCACTAGGATTAAGGAAAAGTCCAGAACCATTTCCTGCAAAAATGTTTCTGGGATACCACATTGGTATTTTTTGCACCTAAAGTAATGCTATGCATTTGAAACCATCAGGGATGATCCATAAAGATCTAATAGCTGGATTTTATCATAAAACGGGCTACAGGGATAAACCATTGTAATGCTGAATTCTAATGCCACATTCTAAATAACGTTAAGCCTTGGTTGACTAGATTATATACAGTAGGTTGTGTTGTATATAACACATACTGTAAAATCTCGCACTGTGTGTTTCCACAGCATCATTATACAATCCTCCATCATTTTGGTTTTCCATATATAGTGGTATCATGCGAAGAAAGAACACAGCGGCATCCATTTTTTTAGTACAGCTCTGTTTCACAGGTGCTGTGAGATGCTACAGCTGTATGCCAGAACAGACCAAAGTAGCTCAAAGCACCTTTTCAATTTCCAATTCTCCATTCCTTATCTTTCTCATACATTCAATACAGCTGAATCACAAGCTAACAGCTACCAATTAGTTTACAGTGCAATTAATTCTCTAGACATTCCTGTTTATACTGGAGATTAATGTTTGGTGTTAAAGCAAACCACCATGTTGCCATGGTGACAGGGACGACTGAATGGCAATGCGCTCATGGTTAGAATAGTAATACCACTTTTTGCTGTGTCTGCTTTTTATTTTTTCTGCAAAAAATGCTCTTTGTATATCCAAAAACAATTTAAGGTAGTGGTTTGTTATAATGCTAATCAAAGGAGGAGAGGATCTTTTATTAAATTACTATAGCAACCTGGTCTGGAACATTGCTGAATCTGGTTAATCAGGAATAAAGAAAAGAGAGTGTAGCTTACTACTCTATTTTCAAATTCATATAATAGTCAAGGTCAGGCATCCCCCATTGCAGTCTCAATCATTGCAGAAAGCAAGGTAAATAAGAGTATACCAGAATAAAAACCTCACAAAGAGACTGCTGATAAATAATGAAACAAACTAGTCTGGACTGATAAGCAAATATAACTGACTACTTAATCTCCTTTTTAAATAATAAAGATAAACTATTTGAATCAATTTATTATATTTCATTTCCACATCATGTAGATATTAAGACATGTTGTCACAAAAGGGAATAATTCTAAGTCATTTATTTTTTTAGAGGGTCTCAGATGGTCAAGTGTTAAACAGAGAGCTGCAACAGAGGTAAATAAACCAGTTGCCTGAAATGAAAAAGTCAAAATTGATCTACTATCTTAGATGTAATCTGACTCAACTCTAGCCTTAAATGCTACAATTCTCTCTATGCAGAAGGTGCTTGAAATCATAGTGGACTCTGTGACCTCTTTGGTCCATGTAGGAGTAGAGAAAGACTTGAATTTTAACTCTGTTCAAGAGTAAACAAATGAAATGCATTAGAACAACCGTTTCCATGTTTTGATTGGAAAATGTGATGGGTAATTCCACAATAAGGTGCATTTGCAAAGGACTAAACAAGGCTTGAACTCCAGTATAGCAATGGATAGAAAAGAAGATATCTCAAATGTGTTTCTTACATCAGAAAATAACTAGTTTTATAACATTAACACAGCAAACCTACTCTATAATGTGTGTTCTAGTATTCCACAAACTAAAAAAATATGGTTTTAACAAATCAGACAACATACAGTATGTTGTATTCACTGCTGTTAGCCCAAAATTCCAGACATAAAATACGTTAAAATATTTTACAAAACAAAATGGTTTCCTGTTTACTACAGTATATAAAAACACATATTGTACGTCTTAAAAAGGCACCACAGGAAGTGAAATATCTTCACTCTCCACGTTGCATGGCGGTGCTCTCCTTGAGGAAAATTTTGACATTTATTTAATTCATACAAAGTGTAGAAAAAAATATTCCTATGAAAAAGGGTTAGACATTTTACAAATGAACTTCCAAAATGTACTGAAATGATCTCTTTACAAAGTTTGGAGTTTCGTAGTTTAAAAAAGTAACCTGCTTTAATTGTTGTACAAATTTCACAGTGTTCTGTGTTCATTTTAAAGTGGGTTTAATTGAAAAACTAATATTAGCTAATTGTTTTCACTGTTTGAATTATGCAAACATTATGTGATTTATTCCATTTTTATATCACTCACATGCAGTGTTAAACAAATTAATAGTTTTAAAGATTTAATCTACTCCAATCGCCTGAGACACTTCTATTAATGCAAAAGTCAATTTACGTTTAGAAATGATTGTAAAAACATTAACAACAACAAATTGCAAAAACATAATATTCTTAGCATATGCATTTTAAATGTATAGACATCTTTGTATTGCATACTGTATGTGTTGTGTACTCTAAACTACACGTTTCACATTGTGTTTGTTTTATTTCTCTATTGTTAGCAGTACAACAGAGGAGGTGCATGTTTTCTAATGTACTTTGTAACTTTTTCTCTTGTTTCAGGTCCAAAATGTAAATATTCTGCTGTAATCTATATATACTGTACTGTATATATTAACCAATCAGTTTCAGAGTGGGTAGGTTTCATTGTGGTGAAAAAATATTTGAGGCAGAATAAAACAAATGTCTGTTTGCATATTTCATTCATCTGAAGAGAGAACCAAAAAAAAATGGCCTCCTTTACCCTAGAACACTTCACTATAATGGCTGCTGTTATATAAACAAGAACACGTTCAGAGTAGATCATAGTTTAGGTCAAATTACTCAACAGCTTGGGAGATATATCTGGCCTGGAAAAAAAAAAACATTCTAACTGTAGCAATGCCTGGAGAAGTAGAACTTACAACATAAAAAATGTTAAATTTAAGCCTCCAAATGAAAGTTTAATTTCTATTTAACAAATCAGGGTTGTTTAACTCTGTAGCCTAATGCTGTCTTTTCCCAAAGGGAATCTTAGGAATACCTTTGGTATTAATGAAACATGTTATACACGTACACGGCATTTTTGTTTTTGTTACACTTTCTTCCAGAAAATTCTTTTCTTGCTACTAATCTGTCTAAGCATTCAAGACAGTTACAATTCATATGTATTGTTTAATTGTTTCTCCAAAAGCGAAAGCATGAAATTTTATTCGATGTAGTGGTTTTACATGTAAAGTAATGAAATCACTGCTGTAGACAGACACTCTGTGAGGTCTTTATGAGAAATTAGTACTGCAGCCCTCTTGCTTGAGAATAGCTTGTACAGCAGATGAGTGTCCTGTAAGTGTAATGCCGTACTCAATTTATGCTATTAACAGTAGATTTGGTGTGCCTTCTATTTCATACATATGCACACCATTAAATTTGTCTAATTAAATTCACTGCAGAGAGATACAGCCTTTCCAGGAGAATAAAACAGAAAATGTCACACTATAAACTTAACAACTCCTGTGCCACCAGACGAGTATGCCTTATTAACATTGCTTTAACTCCTTTGAATCCAAGAATCACAAATTGCGCCAGTTACGCTAAAAATGCATGACAATTTTAAACAGGTCTTTTAAGGGAAATGTTATATACTTATATACTATGACCATAAAGGACAACTAATTTATGGATACAAATATTCCTTTAAGCAGACAGTGGTATATTTTTGTTTTGTCTGTTGTAAAATGACTTTTTAGTTTGAAAATCTGGTTACAGCTGACACAGCATAATGGACAACAGTTCTTTAAATCATCATTTACAGTACCATAGTTATGATTTGAAAAAACTGATTTCATGATTTGTTTCCAACTTTTAAATGGCAAGACGATCACGTACTGAACTGCATAATTACCTTTGTACCTCAAGTAAAAACATTTTGTTTAAATTCCTAAGCTACAAACTGTTTATCAGGCAGTGTTATTAAAACCGGGTAGTCATAATGTGTGACGCAAAGACAATTTATAAAGAAAGTCTATTGGATGCTTCATTTTGGCGTTTTCAAGATGGTGAGCACCAAAGATACCTCTGCAAATAGCAGGTCAGATTTGAATTCAACTGCAAGGGTGTTTGTTGTTTTGCTTTCTGGTGATCTGCTTTACATGGAGTCTCCAAGTGAATCAGAATCATCCAATGAAAGGGGTAGATACAGGTCCTAAAGTGAGGAAGAAAGACAGAAATAAAAATAAAAGCATTTGTTTTGCACTCTCCCGCAGATTACCTGTTATTGAATGACTTTCATGACAAGATTTTCACATTTTCATACAACATTTATGGTACCATCACACTTTATACCTTTCACAACCATTTGTTCATAATTTATGAAAATATGGAGACTTGTGAAAGTTGTCAATTGACAAGTTGACAAGCTTTGACGTCAAGATGTGCTTCTTCACACCAGCCATCCATTTTGTAAACAGATTAATCCAATTCAGGTTCGCGGGGGAGCCGGAGCCTAACTTGACAAGCAACTGGCTGGAAGTGACGCTAGTCCATTGCTGACCAGACATACAGACACAAAAAACACCCAAATTCACACCACGGCCAAGTGTCCCAGAAGACGATTAACTCACTAGTACTGTATGTCTTTGGACATTGGGAGGAAATGTCACAGAAGTATGGATTTGGAGGAAGGCTTAGTGTGGCATTTGGGGCATGGCCTGAGACACCAATTAAACCACCCACAATACCTTAAGAAGGTGGGGGATCTTTCCTGTCAAAAACCACATGATCACATGCTGAGAACATGAACACTGTGCAAAGAAGATACCCCTTTCCATAACGCAACCCAGGACTCAGGAACCAGCACTGATCATCATTCTATCATGCTGCCCATTTTTGCATTCAGTGTCAGGCAAAGAAAAGCAAACATGCAAAATTGTATACCTTGTGCTTACGGAGGCAGCCCGGGCTAGTGGGTGTGGAGATAGGAGACTGCTTTGAAATAGGAGTGGAGAGCTGGCTACTGGATGTGCCATTGGCTGTGTAAAACAAAAAAAGAGACAGTTCTGTTAAACAGCAGTTAAATCGCAGACACCCCATGCTAAGAACTCACAATGAGTGATGATGCCTCCAAAGCCCATTACTCCAATGCCTTGTGTTTTTCTTTGATTTTTAAGATTCCCTTTTTGACCAGTACAGTGTTTCATTCTTTTTCACTCTGCTGGCCAATGCACAGACGTTACTCCATTGCATTGACAGGTTGCTAGGAAACCGCAGGCATCTGTTTACAACAGAAGGTGGTGTGATGGGTGGTGTGGTTGCCTCAGTCCACTAACTGATAGTAAAAACACACTCAAAAAAGAAAAAAAAGGCTTTTATTTATATAATGAATCAGCTCTCAAGCAAAAGCAAATTCTTCAAACATTGAAAACGGTCTAAAATTATGGAATTTTGGGTTCTTCTCATAAGTAACTGAATTTTCCCACACAATCATCTGAAGGATCATTATGAGTCCCCGATCATTGGGCTTCCCTATTTCTCTGTTCTTTCCTACTCATAAATTAAAAATGTCTGAATTAAAGATGTGTTTTATTTTTTAGGCTAAATGATTTATTCAACAAATTCGTTTTTTGACCTAATAATTTCAGACAAATACTTGCTAAAAGAGGACTATAAAAATTTTGAACCAAACTGGTATCTCTCTTTTGGATATATTTATTTATGAAGAGCTTTTTTTATTTTCTTTCCCTTGTTAACTTGGAACTGTACACCTCTTTACTGCAAAGAAGGAAAAAGAAAATGCCATCCTTCACTATGCCCACCTGTCATAGGCATTCATTATTTGACATGTTGTGAGCTTCATTGTGCCTTACAGAGGTGTTGGTACTGATTTGCAGAACAGGACATTTCTTCTAGACATGCTATATGGAATAACCTTTTTTCCTTTAATACCAACACAGCCGTTGTGGTACCACACTATTGGGAATCCAACATCAGCCACAGCTAGAACCAGTATCACCTGGACTAGGGCTTAACTAGCAAGTTGACTGTGCCTGGCTTTTATTTTTTTAACAAACCACACCAGTACAGGCTAGAGTAACAGCTTTAAAGTAACCTTAAAGTGCAGTACTCTGTCCTGTCATTTTACACATTTTGGACAGTATGTGGCAAGAATGTCACTTAATGCATCTATTGAGCTGGAATGGGTTTTGAAAATGAAAATGAGAATGAAAATACAACACAGTGTGGGTTTTAAAGAACACGTGTTGTAATGTGTTTTTCAGGCACTCCATAGAAAGAAGCACAATGGGCAAATAAAAACAAGTGGAACACCTGGGTGGCTGGAGTGGCCCATGAGCCGTTTCTGCCTCATTGTGTAGAAACTAAGAGACTGAGTGGACTTTTTAATTTTTTTTCTTCAACATATTTATTGTAGTTTGTTTTTTAATCCTAGGAATACTAGTATAAGCCAATTATATCACATGGATGTACACTGGCTTCATTCATTCTAAAACAGAGTCTTTTTGAGCCCTGGAGAAAAGACTGCTTATCTTCTCAATAGAGCTTAGCGAACAGCCACCAAAATTTCCAGGACCTAAGCTGAGCCAGCCAGACATTGCCAACTGCTGACTGTCTGAATTCAAACTAAAGATTGTACCTATTCAATCAAAACCCTTTTCCACAGAAAAAGTCTTAAACAAGGAAAGGGGGCAAACAGGAGAACAGACTAACATCAAATTGAAAACTCAATTTCTTTATTTCGAAAGAAAAAGCAGTGCATTTAAATCGAATGTACAATTACAAGCAAAGACAAAAAGTTATAGTGCAAATGTAACAGGCTTTCAAAATTAATAGAAACAATGTTATAATGTGCAAACCAGCAGTGGGAAGATGTAAGGAAAGCGCACTCTTCACTAAAATAATGTGAAAGATTGGAAAGCTGTAAAATGGTCAAGGTACACCTTAAAATAAAGAGGAAGTGTACTGTAGCTGAAACTGACATTTAACAAAGTATCAATTAGATGTCACAAAGAAAACAGTGCTTCATTTCCATGTAAGTTTCCTGTCATGATTCTAACAATATAATGGCTCCAATTTCAGATATAAACAACGTCTGAGCTCTCAATACTCAGATCTAGGATTAGCTCTGCTTTCCTTGCTGACAGCAGACACATTTCTAGTAAATGATGAAGCATATCAACACATGTTCCAGGTCATTTCAGAGCTCAATTTCAAATTATAGCTAAACAACTTTTTTTTTAAATCTTGGAAACATGTTTGGGCTAAAAGAAGGCTAAAATACAAATATTTGAGAACACTGGGCATCAAGGTGAAAAACTATTATTTTCTATTTTATGAAAACGTTTCAAAACTAACACGCTTATACAGGGTACCCATTATATACTTTGTATATTGCTCCCACAGCAGATATCCCAATTTTTTTTTAAACTTTGTAAGAAGAGTTAAAAAACATCAAACTTACTGTACATACTGTACTACCTTTATACCACCTTAAAAATGTAAGACAGAAATGGTACTTGGTTTTATTTTATTTATTTCAAGTGATTAACAATATTGGGGTTACAATTCCAAACCTGTGGTTTGGCAATGATTCCCCTCTGTAATGTAAGGCTGACAGGACATCTCCCATCAGCTCCTATAAACTTCACCCACTCTTTAAATTCTTGAATGTTCCCTGAATAGACCTTAGGAAGGACTAGCATTTATTCATTTATTTATTTAGTCATTTTGTTATCTCTGCTACCAGCTTTAAATGACAGAGCGACATTGGCATTTGCCTGATGGAGCCACAGAGTGCCACACTGAATCAGTGTAAGGCCATGAGCAACTTGTAATAGATCAGAGCTTCCCTGGGTCCAATAAGAACAGTGCAAAGCTGGATCTTAATTAATGCCATGTTTTATATTTTGCATCTTCCCCAGTCTGGCCCTGTCTGCCTCCCTAATTTGGTTTGCATGGCTGCAGTCTGCAAGCCTTCAAGGTGACTTCTTCATTCAGAGCTGCTTCCTCATAGACATTGTTACAGAGACTTTCTCATGTAGGCATTTACCTTTGTCTAAGGGTTTTATAGGAGAGGACCCTGCAGTCCCTTGTTATTAAAACCTGTCATATTACCAGGGATAGAATATAATTCCTAATCTGGAGCTCTTTTACTGGTAATGTTTAACAAAAATGGTAAATAAACTTAGATCATCTTCTGATCATTTGGAAATATGTAATATACACTAGTTAATATAGATCTGGTCTGTTGTCAAACATAGTCTGGATTTATCTTACATTTGTCTGCAGGAAAAGCAGGTTTTCTGGAATGTCATTACCATTTTAGTGTTAAGTGAACATACGCTTACAGTACAGTCTTTAAAATACAAAATATTGTCAAAGTACCTCTAAAAGTCTGTTCTTTTATATTTTCTTTTTTTTTTAAATGAAGCAGAGTAGGTGGAAAATGCCGACTGTTCAAATGTGCCATTTTGACTGATATGTTGAAATTCAGGACAGCAATGTCTGATTGTAGTAAACGAAGCCAATAAAGTTTCCAATCCACCATCAAATTAAGGAGAAAAAGAGAATGACACAATAAAACATAAAATGAATACTATTATAAAAACAGCAGTTGTGCCATGCTATGTCCTGTTACAGAAGTTTTGCTGAAGGATGGTGTGCATGTACAAAGCAGTTCCTGACGTTTACCCACATCAAATTTACGATAGCTAAAGAAATGAAAAAAAAAAGAAATCAACAAAAATTTAAAAAATGAAAAAAAAGTTCCATTTGCAGTCAGCATGGTGAATCAATAAATCAGAGGTTAATCGTCTCACTCGATTCAGCTGGTGACTTGCTGCGTCGGGCAGGTCCTGGACTCTTTGCCAAGCTCTTCTGAGCTCCTCCTTTAGGGATTCCCTTCATAACATGGCACTCTGGAGGAAACAAAAACCGCAGGCAGGGAGTTCACACATCAGGATAAAAAAATGGCTATGCCTCAAGAAACAAGAAAAACAGGAGCAAACATTAATTAAGCTCCACACCATTCACACAGACATTTATGACGAAGAAAAATGGCTGAGTTCATGTGAACCTTCCATCCATTTGTTCTTATGAAGTGTATACCCATCTGTCCAGCAAATTCCTGATCACATGAGGTGCTGGGTGTTATCTAAAGATATTGTTTTGGGGAGAAACCTCCTGAAACTAATTTGTATTATTGCAAATCCTCCTGACAGATACTGCAATTGAGCAGCTTAGTGAGCATATTGGCTTTAACCACTTGGCTAATTGAATGGCTGCCTGTCTATGGAGATGAGCAAAACGAACCTCTTGTCCCTATTAGAAGGTTTTAGCCAGGAAACATCTGGAAGGACAGTGATGGAATGGAAGAATTACATTTACATAGTCATTCACATGATAACGCCCACCTTCTTATTTTTACATTAATAAGTATTTCAAGTTAGCATGTTGAGACTGATGGATTTTCCAACACCAGGTCATACTTTCCTGGGGTACTTATAAACTCTTTCAGCAAGGTTATCTACTCCTACCTGAGAAAGGTGAATTGCATGTTTTTTCAGAAGTGTGGTCAAATTCTAACAATACTAAATGATCCAACAAATCTGAAGGGAGCATTCTTAATACTTTGGTAATAATGTGTCCTTGCCTGGCTGAGGACACGGAAGTGCTGGCTGACGATTTGTGCAAGTTATGAGCCAGAAAGGCAGCTGCAAGGGGGTAGAGGGAGAGGTGCTAGAAAAGATGGTCACAGAATTCCAGGCAGCCTGCTGACCCAGCTACCCACCTGAATGTATTTATATGTAGGAGAGTGGAAGTGCAAAATTAGAGTTTCTTCTTCTTAACATCTGTTAAATAACACTACTTTAGTAGTTTAGTCAGCTTCTAATAATAAAGAAACAAGCCAATGAATATAATAGAAGAGTATACTTAATACCTTGACATTAACTCACTTGGCTAATAAAATGACAGTACTGGCTGAAGATGTTACAACCTCCTAATGTTTCCCCCAAGAGTGAGTTGGTTTGACAGCAAAGTTTCACAGGAACTGATCGTAGAGTTTTGAGCCGGAGAACTGAGTGAGCAAGAAGCAAATACTGTATGATGCAAGTTTAAGTTTTGTTTGATCGAGTAGATTCATATTTTCAATGTTTTATAGGAACACCAATAAAAAAGTGAAAGAAAATCATGTATGATGCTGGTGATGTAATGCAAGTCAAGGACAATGTGGCAATACTGCCAACAAACCCTCACTTGTTTGAGAATGGCATCCTGTCTTGGGCAGTGGAAGACACTGTGGTGTCCGGGAAAAATAGCTGGAGGTGACCAGGATATGAACTAGTTGCTGGACTTTGCTAGAATGGATGAGGATGGATTCCAAGTAGAAACCCCCAGAAGAAGAAGTGGATGCTTGGGGAGAGTCTAGGGCAAACACTGCACCAGTTGGACACCAACAGGGCAGGTAAATGGTGGTGACCTGTCAAGGTAGCAGCCAGGGCTGTGACCAGGGTTCAAGCACCATGGACAGCGAAGGCTGAGAATGAGGAGGCTTGGACCTAGTGCAGACAATGTCATGCTCTCAGACCTTGGGGCAGAGTGAGCATCAGCAACTGGGTGATCTCCTGTGGAGACAGTGTAAAACTGGGGAAAAGGAAGATACATAATTAAAGAAACATAAAGTAACATTAAGAGACAAATAATTAATATTGACAGGAGTCACAAGTGCAGTTGGTTGGATACTCAACCAGAAAGAGAGAGATAAGGGGAGTTGGAGGGAGATAGTGGAGTGTGCAGAATTAGGAGAAGAGAAAAGGAGGCAAAGTTGATCAGAATTCCAAGGGGGGTTGATGGCATCAGGTGAATTGAAAAAAAGCAAACAGTATGGCAGGTGTACAGCCAGTTGTTTTCCGTAGAGAAATTGTGGTTGAAGAGCTGCTTGTTAGAAAAGATGCAAGAAAGTGACTATTGTCTTAGTAACACCAAGTGTTCAACAAAGTGTTTCTAAAGATACAGAAATGTTGAGTGCTACAAAAGATATATGGGGAATTTTGTGCAGCCAGTGAATATTAATAAATAAGGGAGCATAGTGTGAGATTAGGATTTGACCTCCTCCTGAACTTCTGTTACATAACACCATAAGTGTCAGAGAAATTGTTTCTGTAACATTTGGGCTGGTACTGATATACTGCAAGAGAGTTATAATGACAGACAAAAACTTTTTGTTTAAATTTTTTATTTTATATACATACGTTCAGGTTCTCATTCTTTCGACAAATACAGTTTCATACAATTCTGTTGCTATGATCTGTGAACGTGCATGAAGTTGGTGGAGGAACTCCACTCCTTTTCGTAAGGCTTTTCACATTTTCATTTCATCGTAAATTGTTTCAATCTGGAGTGGCAGCCATGATCCATTCCAGATGTAGCTTTATCATTATCATTTTAATTTCAGCTGGGGTACTGCTCTTAAAAACGTAGAGTAATGGACATACAACAGCATAAATACCCAGTCACCTTTTGTGCAACTCTATCTAACTTCCACAATACATAATTCTAGGATGCCTGGTCTACTTCAACATTATACATTTGCAGATAAAATGTGTTCAATTTTGTAATATTGCAGTATATTCAACAAAGGGACCCTATATCTCTGTAGATCTCTGCAGACATTTCCTCAGTTTTTTTCACAGATTTCCACTAACCTTGGTTATACCCCCCCTGGGCTGTTTTGGATTTGGTTCCAGAGGAAAAGCGTGCTGAAAGAAAGTAACCAAATAATTAACGTGGCAAACTTATTTCTTCCATTTTTACAGTTTTAAAGAAACCCAGTGTCAGGGTTTCACACAAGGGGTCTTCAATGCCAACATTATATTTACAGCTTACACCTGTTTACAACTGCTAGATACATGACTCATGCTTCATATTTGAGTAACAACAACCACAAAAACAGAGGCCAGGCACTTTTTTTTTGGGGAGGGGAGTTTTAAATGTCAGAACTACAGATGTGTCATCTTAAATTTCATTCACCCTTGAAATAAATCAGACTCCTGCAGAGAGAGTGTCGTCTTGCTAGAGGAAGTAGACCAACTGTCTGAAGCCTCATGTGTTCTTGTTCCCTTTCTCAAAATGCAGGCATTAAAAGCCACAGGGGATTGACAATACTGCAAGCAGAGGTCTCATTACTGTGCTGAAGAGTAATGCCATAGTTGCTTTTGCCCTAAACCTGTCATTGAGAAATTCATGAGAATCTTTTTCCTTTTACTTACATTTGCCAAGCACAACACTTATTTCATTCCATATTTTTAAACAATTCTGCAGCCAATTACTGAATTAAATCGATACTATTGACATTAAATCTAGCAGATATGGCAGCTCCTTCCACAATGAATAATGTGAGCTCGTAAGGTTGCTCGTACTTAAAGAAAATACAGAATAGTGACCAGAAGAGCATTGTCAAACGTACTTATACCCTTTTCTTTATCTCTACATGCAGATTGACCACTTTTAAAGACATTGCTAAAATGTACTGCATATTTGACTTTCTACATTATACAGTATGCATTTTTAAAATATGTTCACCTATATTAGGCAAACATGTGACCAGTTGTGGATGTGAGAAAAATGAGCAGGTCTTGATAACAGATGGGTAACTATGCAAACAATTGAGAATAAAGTTCTGCAAGCAAGAAACATTTTTTTCACACATTTTTATTTTTATTTTTTGATTTGGAAGATGGTAATACCACAAGGGAGAGAAAGTGGTATTAACACACTGAGTAAGTGCTGTCAATACATGAACAGTACAACCACATGAGTGTCAAAAGAAGTGTTACTAATTAATGTGCAACACCAGTGCTAGACCTGTTTTACTGTAGTGTGAATCACCTGTCCCTTGAATGATGACATACAGTACTTTAACTGTAATGGTACTGTACATACTTTAGGAAGAGCACTAAATTAAAACAGACAGCAGGTAGGGCCCTTTCCAATCTGTTTATTAGAGACCTAATGGAATTTGGCAACACGATACTAACGTCTTCCCTCCCACACCACTCATAGATTTAATTAATTAAATTTCTTTGAGGTCTGCTTGGTACTATATTTGCATAAATTACAAATGCGTTAGAGTAACTGATATGGGTGCAGACTAATTTTTTTAATTTAATTAGTTTTAACTCACACTAAAAAAAATAAGAGGGGATTAAAAAGTACAAAATCAAGATCTCAACTACCAAAGCAGAAGTCAAAGGCAGTGCAAATATCACTTTTTAAGCTGCTGATGCCCATTTTTAAAAGATTTAAAATATTTGCTCTGCTTCCTTTCGTCAGCTGTAGGGCAAATCTGAAAACAGATAGGCGTGTGTATCCCACAATTTGCCGCAAAGTTCAGTTGTGGGTCATGTGGCACTAGGAAAAATTGACAGTAAGCCAAAATGTTTCACAGCAGACCTCCCCAAGGCCAAGCCACAAACAGAAAATTAACTGAGACAATTTCCTGAATTGTAATGTGCTCATTAGTGCAAAGATTTATGTTCAAATGGTATCACAAAAACAGTGGCATTTGGCTGTTGCTATACTAATGATACACAGCAGGCACAGTATGCCAAGTGAATTAAAACCTCAGACTATCCAATTCAATTTGCCATCTTAGTCTCTTTTTTTAAAATGTAACCTGTAGAACTATTATTTTTTTACTGTGATTGGAACAATACTTATTTTCCTATCATATTTAAGCATAGTTTTGAAAATTAACTGAATAGCTATGAATTTTAAGGTATTTTTGTATGTAAAAATAGACAGACATATTTGGAAAATTACTAATCTAGAGCTTTCTAAAAGACAGAGCAAATGTCAGCTAATAATGAATCGGTTCTAGTATGGAAAACACCATATACTGGATTTGTTTTTTTGGGGACCTATTATTTCCTGTAGAGAAAGTTTTATAACTTGGCAAGTGAAGCCTTTTCTTTCTCAGAAGTAAGTATTCTGCATCCCTCACCAGTACAAACAGACTGAGAATGGACAGATGGATGTAGAATTAAATATAGTTCTTGGAAGAATTTTTCCAATCTCTTGGAACTGAAGTAAACAAACCATCACTGGTTCATTAGCAGACAGCTGAACTTTCACATAGATGTACATAAATGTCAAAGTGCTTAGAGTAAAACTTGTACAGGCCTAAATGTCTCTGAACATTTTTTTTTATTCTAGCGCATTCTGAAAATGTATTTTTATATGAGGTCTAGAAATTTATGATCATTTATCAAAAGTGTAGATTGACAAAGAATGGTAAATGTATTAATCAACTCACCACTTGATTAATGAATTCGTATTTGGAGAGATTTTCGACAAATTTTATAGCAAATTGAGGCCTTTAATCTCGACCTCTTCAAGACATGCCTAATCTGCATTTCAAGAACTTTTCCTTGAATTCAAATTTGCAGCCAAACCTAGTAATCTTAACTAGTAACAAATAAATGCATAAACTACAGTACTTGAACCAAGACAGTGTAGGATAATATAAATTCTTCTGAACAGGTCTAAATGTGTAATTACAAAAAAATCTGAATAAGAAAAAAAAGGTTAACCTTAGAGCTTCAGACCTCATAAACATGTAAAGTATGCTGAAACAAAAAATTAATCTTCTGATTTTTAGACCACAGTCTAAAATTCATTGCAGTCTTAAAAAAAATCTAATTCTGAAATGCTGCAAACTGATAAGTGGAATTCTGAAATAAAGTGAACTTTTTATTCCTTTTGCCTTATACCGTTCTTAAATTGTAAATAAAACTATAGTGTATTAAGGGAGAGGTACTATATAGAGAAAAGGCTGTAGGATTTTGGTCTTAATATTCCTTTTCACATAAAATGTAATGCATTGCATCTAAACAAGACTTTGCTCTTCTTTTGGCATTCCCATGGACTTCTCATGGATAAAAATAAGACACTACAAAATCACTTCATATTCTGGCTGCTGTATGTCCTTTTATTGAAGCAGAAAGAACGTCCTAGAAGCCAACGTATTACATTCTGTGTGGAACAGATCCTCTCTAATTTGCTTTTGATCTTCTTTCAACAGATGTCTGTCAGTGTCAGTGCCAAATGTGATTTAGTGTTTAACGTGAATTAACAGTACATTTGGTATGATGAGCACCATGGCCAGTTTATTGGATAAAAGAGAAACACCAGCAAGTGATTTAAGATGCAAAAAGACTGGGAACCAGTGCTGTCAGGGGCACATATCATTTCAAATGTGACGCCGAACCAGATTATCCACAACTGCTGTTCGTAAGATCTTGCGAAGATGCGATTTAAATTTATTAAACAAATTTGAAATGAATGCATTGATTGCCATTAGTATTTTCTTCATCTGAGTTTCCATTTTCTCAGAGAGGGGAATGGGAAGCTATGTTTTGTATTGTACTGGTTTATATTAGGACTACAGGTATTGACTCAGCCTCTTAGGAGCGGGGAGAAACTGTTACATTGACACAATTACGCCATTGCTGATCTGATTAAGGTAATTAAAAGCTGGATTGTAATGAAAACCCACAGATATGCCAGCCCTCCAGGACCAGAATTGGAGATCTTTGGTTTAGTGTATTTTTCAGATTTCAGTATCTACACTACTATGCACAAGAGCTAGACAAAATGAGCAATTCATATATATATTCAGTGGTATTAAAAACAAAAGTTGTAGGCTCCAAAGCCTCCACAAGTGTTCTCTGGCATTATGACAACACTGATTATTATTGATATAGTTTATTTTGGGAGAGAAGAAACCAAAGCTTGTCATTCAGCAATCTTATATTCATATTGTTCAGTGATCACACTGACTTAGGGTAAAGTATACATGAGAAGACAATACTAAATATAATAACTAAACCAGTAAATTTACAAATCAAACCTTTTTTTATTCATTGTAAATTGTTCCTCATAATTAACAGAATTTGTTCCTGTCTAAACATCCATGAAGCTAAATTGCAACTTTTGCACCACAAACTGCAGATCTATGAGAATTAACTGTTGGTTTCAAACTAAAAACACCTCAGTAGAATTTTACTATTTATGTTTCTGTAAGAAGTACAGTAGGAATAATATTGCAGAAAAGAGCAGAGCAATGCCACATATTGAAGACTTCACCCAGTGATGTATATCCTAGTAGATACTTTGTTTTACCAGACTATGAGGCTGTAGATCAACAATTTTTTTGGCTGTTGTGATACTCATTTTTACATGTATTTTTTTTCCAGTGAAACCGACAATAGATCCAGCTAATTGACTTCCTGGACACATCAAATAATTTTATAACGTTCTATGTAATAAACAGTTATTTTTTAATTAAGCCATGGCTTTCTTCAGCCAAATGGGTTTTAAGATTCAAGCCTATTCTAACTTCCATCTGTAATGTCAAAATCACAAGATTAGTACTAATAGAAGTGAAATTCTATGAAGGGCAGAAAATAGCACTTCTCTGAGAACTGTAAATACAGATGGTCTTCTCAATTAAAATATTATTTTTTCTCTTCATAGTGAAACAAAACTGTCAATATGTTCTGAATTAATTATGTAGAGACAAATATATGTCATGACTATCAGTAAAAAAAATTGGAGCAAGAAAAACACTTATTTACTTTGCTTTTCTGATTGTTCTCAATTAAACAATTTAAATAATTGTGTCTCACGATATTACATGCATGGACCAATACAGACAGATGACATTTATGTATTCATGAAACAGAATATGAAAACAAATGAATCATTATGTATTGAGGCTCTACAAAACCACATGGCTCTAATATTAGACTAGCAGATCATTGCTAACAAGAAAAAAGAACATGAAATACATACAGTATATTGTAATTATTTTGTGTTTGCTGTCTTCCTTTCTGTTAATTTTTCAGCTTTTTCAGTCATCATTCTCTTGCTATTGCTATAATTGCTATTGATCTATTGCTATAACATTTTACACTTTTATTTTACTTATTTTGAAATCCCTTCCTTTTCATTCAAAACTAAGCTCAATTAATTAATGTCAGCATTCCAAGAACATAATTGTGACATCAGGAGACCAAATAAGAGCAGTTGGTAGAGAATTAAACTTATATACAATAAATTTAACACAAAATCTAGACAAATACTATGCATAAAAAGGAATAAAAACAAGAGGATACTTGAAAAGCGATAGGGTACTGATTGCAGTTGACATAAGTAGTGCTGAAATCATCTGTCTAATGACTCTTGTAGTTAAGATAAAGTAAGTGAGACTTACCATTCTCATCCAGTGAAAAATCATCTTGGGCATAACGAAACTTTTCAGGGCCACATGCAATAAAGACATCATCATCCCCAAAGAAATCCTGGAGGCATGTTACCTAAAACACAGGCAGGAAATGTATATCTATGTTAATCAGAAGCAAAGTAAGAAGCAAGTCCAAAAAACTGAACATCCTGTATCTGCCTAAAAACTGGCAACAGTTACAACTTAATTACAATTAAAATCAATTGAGTTTGTTTTTGTAAATAAGCTACTGGACACCAAATAAATCAGATTGAGCAAATGGCATTCTCTCTTGGGCTTTTAAAACTGTCAAGGCTTAATGTCACCATCCTCATACTTGCTGTGACACGCTTAACGGAACTGCTATTAAAGTAAGATAACTTTTTTTAAGTATAGGCAAATATGCTGACAGCAGAACCAAGACAAAAGTGCAGGATAATAATTTCATATGAGAAAAAGCAATGGTATACCCTTCAAAAGGCTATAATTGGAAGACTTCTTTTTAAATTCACACAAAAATTTTTAATTGAGGAGTAAGTGTATTGAGGGAGATCAAAGTTCAGTACAGTACGCTAGAAAGGAATGACTTTCTTCTCCATCCCTCTGCCAAGTCTTCAAATTAAATTTCTAAAAGCACTAATCTGGAGTCTATAACATTAGTAGTGTCAGATTTCTGAGAATGCTAAACAAACCTTATTAATTCTGGCCAATCGACAAGCACATTTTCAATTTTGCAATAAATTATGATATCCTGCTGCTTGTATCCTCTTACATGCTTTATCACATTTCATATGTGGAGGTCCTTTTTCTGCATCTTTTCATTACCTTTAGCACAATGCCTGTTTGATCTCTATAGAAACCCAAGAGGGCTTACAGCATTATTTCTACCTACTGTAGATGCTTTACTTAATTAAGCATTCATTTGAAAAAGAGACTGTGAAGAAGGTGCCATAGCTGAAACACTGTTTTACTACATTCCTTTAACTTTTCAGCATGGTATTAACCCATAATTGTACTGTTTATGATGCACTTTTCACTTCATTGCATTTTCATTTCTTTTTCAAATGATTCTAAATCTTGTGTCTCCAATATTTGTGGGAAATTCGATTATTATTATTTTGGCTTTGCTTAGGCTACAGCTAAGAACACACAGAAACTAATTACTCGGTATTAATGCAAAGACTTTAATACGTTCATCCAATTTACGACATAATCCCTGGTCCCAACACTTGTTGACACTTGTTGAGCAGCTTTATGGGACGATCAGTATGTTGCCCTGTATTGTATGTAGTCCAGTGTTCCATGTAATCAAGAAACACTAATCTGTTGGGCTAGTGAGTGTCTGAGCCCTAAACCTCAGATCCTCTCACTGCATCGTGGCATCAGGGACATCAAGGTCAATGGCTCAGTCAAGTACTGACCTCCGTCATTTTACATTTTTAGGCTCACTTAAGCTAATCCAGTCTCCCTAGTTCTAACAGCTGCCATATTGTTTACAGACAAATGAATGCTATAAGTGGAGAGAGGGGCTGCCTCTGTGGCGCCAGTCAGCTGTGTCCATTTTCAATCATCTTAAAGCATAGCAAGGCCAGGGTGGACACATCAACATCTTTAGAGAACTACTATAGTGTTTGTGCTTGTCTTGTATAATCCTCTTCACTTACCAGGGAACATGGTATTATCATGAGAATAAATATGCAGTTGGGACAGGAACTCTGTGAACAGAGTAGTATCATATGGAACCTAATAGTAAACTTCTGAATACAATGTAAGTGAAGTTCTGATTAAACTGGCCTAAACTAATCCAGTTGTGGGTGTGTATATGTTGCAAAGCTTGTAGCATTGTTTAGAAAATGCTTTCTATGTTCTTAAAGAAAACAAATTCAAGGGAAAGATAAGAGTGTTGTTTTCAATATCGATCCATTTTCTTACTGCTTTATCTATTCACACCAGGGCCAAGCTTCAACAGAAGCCAGTTAACCAACCAATGTGTCTTTGGACTGTGATAGGAAAGCAGAGCACCCAGAGGAAACCTACACATACACAGGGAGAATATACAAACTCCACACAGCTAACCCTTCCCCAGGTCTGGAATTGAACACTGGGCCCTACTGCACAGCAGCAAAGTTAACCACTGCACCACAGTTCCACCCCATTTTCAGCATCTGATGTAGAAAATCCTAATATACAGTAGTATACATATACTGTAGTTTTTTTAATAAATTCAACTTGATTTCCTGTACTCTTTATTATGGTCATAATTAGCAATTATTTTAAGACAAATGCAGTTTTTTAAGTGGCATTTAGTTAACCTATGAAATGGCTCACAATGGTGGTAATTAAGTGCTGCCTATCAGGCTATCAATTACATTGCTGACTGACGGCAAAGGAAATCAGCTTTCTGTCCCTACAGACTGATTATATTCCCTTCTGAGCTTCTCTCCAGCTGTGTCTGCAGAAATGGGATGCAAATTGTGTACCCTAGGGCTCTCCAGTGACTTTCACCACCCATGAACAAAACATCATCAAGCCTCTCTCAGAGCTGATTTTAAATGGAAATGTGGCCTTGTCTGAACCAAAGGTTTCAATTCTGCAAGTGCCACAAGTTAATAATAAAATAGTATGATTCTAAAAAGGTGAGAGCAGTTTTAGAAGAGCAAAACTGAACAAGACGTATTTATCTTAGACACAATGAGTCATAATTTATATACAGTATGTTATCAACAACAGCAGTTTATTCAAAACCAACACTAGTTTTCACCACTATTATTTAAGTCATTTAACAATATTTAATTCACATTGACAACTCAATTTAAACTGTACCTGAGCAGCAAGTGTGAACTGATAGGAGTTGCCTCATTGTCACGTTCATTCATTAGACTCTACACATCTATAAAGTTTAAAAGCTAAAGATCTATCAAGATTAGTGCTTAATTTTAAACAATCTGGCTAGAGTTTCGGTAGAAGATTTCAATATTTTTTGCCTGAAGAAGAAAATAAAAATTGAGTTAAATAAAGCATAACTGTACATGATTAAAAATAAATTAGTAACAATTCAGTTAAGGAATTGCAAATTATACTTTATAAAAGTTTAACAAATAAGTTATTAACACTAAAATATTTGTTAAAAAAGAATTTATGTTACAAGTTTTTGCAAGGACATAAAGACTCTGTTAAGGCTGAGTTTAAGTATTAAGTATAACAGTAGGGAATTAATAACTCACAAAAGAAATCTGAAGCCAATAACCTAAAGTTCACTAATATATCTTACCTAAATACAGTCATTTTAAATAAATAAATTTTTTATGTCTCATAATACAAAATTGAAAATAGCTGATAAACTGGTTCTCTAGTAAAAAAACAGCTAAAATTCCTTTCTTTCTTTAACCATTAGATAATGATTAGAACATGGTTGCATGATCTTATACTGATAAGTTCTGTTTGATACTTCTGTGACTTAGTTACAATGTTCATGCATTTAACACAATGTCACATATTTAAAATTCAATTTTGCTGCATAAGTTGCATACATGGAACATATAATGTAATGTAATTGACCATTTTTAGTATTTTAAACAAACCTTTGTTTTGAAAAGAAAAACACTTTCCAGCCGTTCCCCTTTGTTCTTCATTAATGTTCTCCTTCAGAAAACTAACGTAAAATGAACTTTTAGTCCAACAATAGAAGTATGATATTTAATAAAGGTAATCTGAAGTATTGTATACTGTTCATTGGTCCAAACGTTTTCCAGGGACATTTTAATTTAATTTGTTTTATCATGAGACTTCTGGACTGAGCACTCATCATAATGATGGATTGTCAGAAATTTTGTCTCCAGAAATTTTGAAGATGCCATGGAAAATATCAAGAGTGTTAATGACATTGCTGTGTTGAACCTTATTTTCTCTTTCTCAATTTGAGCATCTTAAAGACTATATTATGCACTTAATGTAACAACAGTACATAAAGCCTTTGTGACCAGAGAGTAGCTGATATTCATTCATCACAATTCATTGTTCTTCAGTGAACTACCAAAGGAGTTTTACAGTGCAACCTAAGTTTAACAGATTTTCAGGATATCTGCAGATTGCAGAAAAAGAGTCCTGATGTTACAGAAATATTTCATATTAGAATTGTTGGTGTCCATTAATTATTTGATTACTTAATGAAAAAGGGATTTGTGATATTAGTGAGCTCCTTATTATTGTCAATTACAGGACTCTCACCATAACTGCTTCAGCAGTAAACATAATTAATCCAAGTGCTACTAAGATGTAGTTGTTTGAGGTACCTTGTGTTCAACACCCCAGCTCAAAATAGAGATCAATTGTTGTGCACAATTTTTTAGGACACATTGCAGTCTTGTGTTTTCCTAGACACAGCTGTAATCACTATTCACAGAAGATTCACAATTTTATATCAGCTAAAACAATTAAAAGCCATGGTCTTTTTGGCATTAAAACAGTTTAATCCGTATGAATAAATGAATGGGTAATTAATAGGAATTTATTACATTAAACAGAAAAGCTCTCAGCCCTCAGGCAAAATGGAATATTCAATTCACAGGTGTAAAAGCTGCACGAAGCAAAAGAAGTATAAATCCACTTAAAAAGTGGATTTTTAATTATGATAACATCTTACAAAAACTATACAAAAATAGAGAAGGTTATACACTGTAGGTTTATTATTCAGATGCAGCCATTCAAAGTGCGTGGTACAGACACGTACCGGAGGTACTGTAATTGGCTACGGCCTCGCGCAAAATACTGCGGTACGTGATTGGTTGACCGACAGGGGCACTCGTGGTCCGTTGGTTGGTCGTAGAAAGATTTAAATGTCTTTACTGTGTAATGTGTTTGAAGGCCATAAACAATATTAATTTTGGAACATAAACATACAGTATATGGCTGGTCTTGGTACTTTAAAGAAAAAATACACACCAGTATCCCATTTCTCCCTAAACATTTTAAGCATCGAAGTCTTTAACTAACGTGATACCGGAGTCAACAAGCATACTTTTAGAATTTGATTAAAAGGGAAAATAATATGGAATCGCGTATCTAAAGAAATTAATAACGATATAATTATATAAT